AAAGGCAGGGCACATGGGAATTGATTTTGGCTCATAATTATGTTATGCATATTTAGGCACATGATTGCCCATCATTTGGTCTTTGGTACTACCATTAAATATTTATTAGACTAATGTTATTTAGCACTACCAGTATTTTAACATCTGTCAATGTGACATCACTAGTGACACTAAATTAGAGGTTCAATTCGATAAATCACATAATTTCATCTTTAATTGAACATATAACGTAATGTCACATAAACTCGAGTTTTAATCATCACTAGTGCTAAATAGCATTATTCTATTTATTATCTTTATCCACGGCTTTTTCACACATCCACTAAAACTTTTATGTTAAGATAGGTGATTGTTTTGGAATAAGCAACTTTATTTGGTGTTCATACACTGCTTATTTGGCTAGCCAATGTTTTTAGTTAAATTATTAATCATTTCTCTTTGTTTGCTTTCACACTCAAGTTTTTCTTGAGTAACGAAAACGGGGACTTAGATTTACGAATAATATAATAAGCCCTTTTCGGCAAATAAAATAAAATAAAATAAAAAATAGATTTTTGGCAGATTTTGATAAAAGTTGTTGAAACGTGTGGTTGGAAAGTTGATAATATTATGTCTCATAAAATGTGTGAATGAAAATAAGTTTGGTGGAAAAATGAGTTTTAGAAAATGAGAAACATATTACTCTATATTAGAGTAAGTTCTTCCAAAATTGATATTTGGTCGATTAGTGAATTTATTGAGCGTTTAGCTTGTATCGTCATGGAAAATAAAAATCTATGACACAATCGACGGTAAGCTAATTCTAGCTTTTTACTAAAGCTGAATGCTTTATTAGAAGAGTGCATGTGAAAATGCTTTAATAAAACATAAAGGGGCAAAGCTGCAATTGTTATATTTTGACAAAGCCAACTAAAATAGGGACAATGGTCCACTAATCCAAGAGAAAGTAACATAACATGGGACTTGTCTTCATCATGTAATAGGCTACAATTTAAGAATTGTCAATTTTAAAGTTTAAACAATGATTACAATCAAGTTAAGAAATCTCGCATGCTGTGTGTGTGCTTGATTGCACCGAAAGAAGTAAATTTTCAAGTCTCACTGTTTTAAATTTCTAGCTCCAGTAAGACAAAATTGAGTTTAAATATAAAAGTTGGATTTAAATTTCATAAAAATAAAAGAATTTACCTCTTAAGAGATCGAATTTCATATTCTAGAATACAATAAAACTTGGACAAAAGCGAAATAGTTTTTTATTATTTTTTATACACCACCTATCCACACGCATATGTTGTCGTGGCAATGGGCTGACTCGGCTCTTGTAGAAATAGGAATAGTGACACCTGACATAATATTGTTTCCTTAAAGTAGAGATTCAGAAGTAGGTTCACAAACACCATCAATATCTATTAGAGGAGCAGCAATAAAGGCAATAATAAATATAAAAGTTGTGGTCAATAAGATATGGATCATCAAAACCCCAAACATTGGTAAAGATAGTTTTCAGTGCTCATTATCCGATTATACAAGCGACTTCATAGACTTTCGCAAAAAACCAGTCATTTTTTGACCTATGAGCCACCCAAATGGTCACGTGAAGTGGCCCACGAGCTGGGTCATTGGCCATTTTTGTTGACCTAGTCCACGAGATTAAGATGAGTCGAGCTCGTTGGCTCTTAAAAACCTTATCAGTTCAACTTGACTATTGGCTCGTCTTAATACGAATCCGACTATTCCATGTATCAGGGCTTGATCCTTTGCCATATGATAAGATACTGAATACTATTTATAAATGTTATTTCAGAGTTGAACAGAATTAGTTGAGAGATCGACTGACATTTTTATATGCCGGCTAGGAGATCTCCAAAAAATTATCTGCCTTTTTATTTATTTATTTATTGATAATTTATTAAATGCTGACAGCTTATCTATATTATTTAATAGTTATTAAAGAAGACTCAAAAGTTGATAATGAAAGTTGAGTAATTTATTCTTTCAGACTCTTCAAAGATGAAAAAAAAATGGTTAAATTAATTAGGAAATTGATCTTACAACTTGTTTAACTACTAATATTCTAGTGTAAAATTATTAAAAGTTATGTGGAATGTGAACAAATAAATAGGTTAATTTTGTATCCTTGTTACTGTCATTTGCAGAAAGGGGGATAAAAAGTACAGCCATTGATTCCATTTTGTCAATTTAATAGATTAAAAAAAAAAAAGGCTCTTGAATTGGTCAACGGGTAAATACCAAGTCAACTTAGAGCTTGAGTTGATATTAATACAATTAATTTACAAAATTCGGCTGTTTATCGGTACAATCGATTGATATATGTGAAATACTATCTTAAAGGCACAACGAGCAAGTTTAATATCGAAGTCTGATCGTAATTGTACTAATATTCTTTGTCACGTGAGTTATACGTGAACATTTATCTAAATTTTTTCAGATGAAATTAATTGTTGAGACACAAAATGTTGTTAAAAAATAAAGATTGTGAAGAAAGTGGACCTAGTACAAATATATCAATTTCCCTTCATCATGAAATTTATTTGGTTTGAAGTTGTTCAAATTGATGACATTATAAGAAGAATTTCAATTTGATTTCTTATATAAATTGGTACAACGTAATTGAGTATATATCATTATTCACAATAAAAACAAGAAAAGAAATTGATACTTTTATTTCTTTTTTCCTTACAGCTTGTTTGTGAGAAGCATTTTTCATATCATTTTTCCTCAAAATCATTTTTAGCTACACATTATATATTAACTTATAATTTTTCTTTACTTATTTAGCACACATTCTTATTAAAAAAAAAAAAAAAAAAAAAAAAAAAACACATTGGGAAGAATCTCACACAAAGAAGCCCTCAATCTTATTTGCAGAATCAAATTTATTCCTTTACTGATCAATTGTTGACAAATTAGAAATGGATTCTGGTGTGATTATGAGTTTCTAACCTTCAAAAGTAAGGTTTTATTTTGCCCTTGTTTGAGTCCCATTTTTTGGAATATAATGAATTTTTGAATAGTGTATTAATGGAAAATATGTGGTTAAAAAATAAAAAAATGTTTTGAATTTACGTGTAATATTATTTTATTAAAAAATATGTGATCAGAATAATGTCAAAACACTGTTGAAAAATACATTTTTTTTTTTCAAAAAAATAGGGCTCAAACAAGGGCTTAAATTTGTTAATCTAGGCCCCCACATAATCGGAATGGTCAAATGTTGACTTTAAAGTTAAGTGATTTGACGATTTTGTTATTCAGATATGAGTCACATGAATGATGCAAACTATTTAATGTCCCCATTAATGATTTTCAATCATGTTTTTGTACCCTATACTCATAGATTTAAATAGATTGATGATATATTAAAAATAAATAAATAAATAAATTTGAACTACACATTAGAGCTTTGTGAATAAGGTAAATTGAGCGATATACTAGGAAATAAGAGCTGCTTGTACACTGCGCCTACAGTTGACGACATATAACCTCACTTTGGATAGTTGAGAACCTATAAACACACTACATAAAATGTTGAAGATTCTAAACCCTAATTGTTACAAACCTATATGTATCTAGTTAATTAGAAATGATCTGCTAAGTACTGATTTTTAATTTATATTAAGCCCCCGTTTGATTCCCATTACCTGAAAATGAAAATGAGGGGAATAATATTTTTTAGAAAAATGAGTGGTTGAAAAAGGAAAAAAAAGTTTTCGATTTACGTATAATATTATTTTATAGAAGATTGTGTGGTTGAAAATAGGAGAGAGAAAAATGAAATGTAATGTAATTTAATTTAATAGGGATCAAACAGGGGCTAAGTACTTGATCATTTAATTGATGTGTCATGTCACTAGGTATAACTTATTATATCATTTCTCATGATTAATAGATATTTTCAAATTTGATTTTGTGACTAAATAAATTTATTTTTAAATAATTCCTAACCATGTCCTCAAGAAAACCATCTTTTCGGAATGAATTTTGCTACTTATATATAAAAATGATACATAAACAATTATTGAAAATAATGTGGAGGGAAAAGATTGAATGAAAATGTTGACTGTATTTTAAATTGACAAATAGTGAAGTGCTTTGTAGATATTATGTAATTATGTAAACTTTGATGTAAAATATCCGAAAAAGAAAATATCCTCTCCTTCCTTCCGTGAAATCGTACAATTATAAAGGGCAAGATCGTCACAGAAATAACTTGTCCATCTCACTATACACGTAGCACATAATTAGAGTTAAATGATGATTAGTAATATATTAATTGGATGGCGCGAAAACAACCGCCGCCTCTTTTGTCCTGTTCTCATCAACGACCCTTTAACTGAAACATCAATTATCTTTCTTCTGTTGAGAGTTCATCTTCAGCGCTGTGGAAATTTGTGGAGAATCTAGAGGGATTACAGTTACACATCACTAGCGGAAAATACGGGTACTTAGAATTATATTATGTGTGTGAAATAACGTATTTTTGTGATTAAACTATTTGCATTTCAATGTCAATTTCGTGCTTTTAAAAACTTTTTAATGCCTTTTTACAAATTTTCGCTGTTTTAATCAATTCTTTTTTATATGTGTTTGGATCATTTAATCGTTTTCTCAATTCCATCTTTTTGAGTAAATTGATGAATAATTAGGGGTTTTCTGTTTCAAGATTTTATGAGATTTGCGGAAAATTTATTGTTTATGCGTTTCAAAGTTTTTAGACTTTCGATTACAGTTTTTGAACATAAGTAGAAATTCTTATATTGTTAATTGTTGCTCTGTTTTTCTAGTGGATTCACTGAATTTGTTTTAAAAATATTTCTATCTGACAAAATATTTTTCTACTGGTTTTTGAAGCTTCTGTATCGGGATTATACATGAATCTACAGATGTTATCAGACATATGAACAAATTCTGACATAGCACAGAACATGATTTCCTGCTTTATCCATGTAAAATCCCTCTACTCTTTCAATATCTGGTTTTCTAAAGAAAAAGGTTCGCATCGATTTATGTTTCTGAATACCAAAAAAAAAAAATGCAAAAGGACAAAACGCTCTTATTTTTTGCTTAACTTCTCATAACGATGATTCATTAATTCAGATTAATATAAATAGACTTTAATAATTACTTTTGGTTTTGGTGTTTAGTGTATTTATGGTACCGTGTGTTTATTGAGATGAGCAGTGATCTCTACTTGCACATGGCCTCCATGTCCCTGTTCCCATATGCCGATAATTATTTTTCATTTTTTTCCCCATTTTTTATTAATTGTTGCACGTACAAACAAACCCTTAATCATTGTTTTGGAATTATTTTTGCGAATTCATTAACAGTTAGCAAAGCACCAAGAGCAAAATAATTACCATTTGAGTGGCTTTAAAGAAAAGGCATAGCTGGTCTCAAGACAATTATGTAATTTGCCTGACCTTTTTCTTGATTTTATTTTTTAATTTTGCCTCTGTGAGATTGTTGGTGATTGTATGTTTGTTTGTGAGCATTCATACATTAATCTTTTGTGTGTGTGAGAGAGAGAGAGAGAGGGGGGAATTTGAAGGTGTCATTTTCAAGAAGTTCCCTTTCATGAAACGGAGTTGGGTGGGGGAAGAAGCAGCAGGCAAGAAGATCTTTGAATGTGATTGTTACTTGCTGAAAATGTGCTTGTGTCTGAGTAACATGCTGAGAGCTCCAGCCCCAGCTAAGCATGGCACTCCCGTGAGATGGAAAAAAGGCTGGGAACCAAAGATAAAGGGGGAAAGAGGAAAGAAACTAAAATACATGTAGGAAATGAAAAGGCAAGAGGGGGACTCTTATCTCACAGAATTCCTGTTAGTTATTCTACACTTCCACACCCATTGCATTCCTTCTACTCTCAATTGTGAGAGAGAAACTTGCTTCCACCGTCTTTCTCTTTTTGCAACAGTGGACTGTATATGCTTTTCACCACTATACTGGCTGTTAAATTATGTATAGCCTCATTAGGTTTTTATTCATTTAATAACTTCTTTTTGCTGTTGCCTACTTGTGCGATTTGCCTTAATTTGGGTCAAGTTGTATTTGTAGGATACTGGGATCTGAGTGTCTGTAAAGATTTATTCCTTTGTTCATCTTTTTCTTTTTCGTCCCGCCTTATTCTTTTTTCCCCCTTTATTTTCCTATCTCGAGAATCTCTCATTCTCACTGTGAACTTATCTGGCAGATTTTCAGCAGCAGAAATGAACTAGTTGGAGCAATCAGTGTTATTGATCAGTAGATTTTGTGGTTTTTGTGAAAGTCTGTCCAAGTGTACATGCTTAGTTATTATTAATATGTAAAGGGGGACATCAATGTGGTCAAATGTGCACAGTCTGGATGGATGCATGTGAATCAGAGCAAGCATTACAGAAACGATTAACAGAAGAGACTAAAAGACCACCATTGGTTTCTGCTGACAACAAAAATGAAACCACTCGTCGGTCCCGAACCAGAGAAGTTAGTTCTAGGTATAGGTCACCTACTCCATCAGCAGACGCCAGTCCGAGTCATTCGCCAACTGTTAAGGCATCATCAGCCTCAACTTTGCGAGCCCCAAAGAGGGCTATATCAGCCGAAAGGAAGCGCCCCTCAAGACCGTCATCCCCACCTAGCCCATCTCCATCAACACCAATCCACGAGACAACTGCAGAAATGCTATTCGCATCCAGGAAAATAGAAGGTAATAAATTACCAGAGTCTTTATGGCCATCTACAATGTGCAATCGTGGTGTTTCTTTTCAATCAGATACCTTGACTCTTCCTATTAATAAGATGGAAAAAGCAGGGTCTCATGCTCTTTCAGTTTGCAATTTGAAGCCATCATCAAATATAGCCCATAGACAGGGTGAAACTCCTCCTGAATCTAGGAAGCCCACACCACAAAGGAAGAGCAGTCCACATAAAGGAAAAAATTCTGCTAATCAGTCCGAGAATTCTAGACCTGTCCATAGTTTGCATACTCGATTATTAGATCAACATCAGTGGCCAAGCAGGACCAGAGGAAAAGTATCCTCCTACATTTTGAACAGAAGTGTCGATATTACTGAAAAAAATAGCAAAATGTCATCTTTCTCCCATTCAGGAATGGGTTCACATCCCCTAAGGAGATTATCTTTTGATGGGTCAACTAGACCTTTGCAAAAATCTTCCAGTGACTTGTTAAGCTCAGTATCTAGTGATGAATGTGAAAGTTCGAGTTCTAATTGTTGTTCAACTGATGTCAGTTCACTGCTCATTCAAAAGCCTAGCTCTTCAAGTTCTTTTGATAGAACACCTTTTGTGAATCCTGCTGTTAGATCTCAGTCCCTGTGTCGTGGCTCACGTCCTGCTTCACCCTCTGTAACTAAAGGGATCATTCCATCTCGAGCAAAGACTGTCAGTTCCTCTTCATCTAGAGGTCCAAGTCCTGCTCGGGTAAGACCATCGAGCCCATCCAGACAACCTCAGAGTTCAACTTCTGTTCTCAGTTTTATTGCGGATATTAAGAAAGGAAAGAAGGCTGCAAATCACATAGAAGATGTTCATCAATTGAGGCTGCTATATAATCGACAGCTGCAATGGCGGTATGCAAATGCCCATGCAGATGCTACATTGCATGTTCAGAAAGTAAAAGCAGAGGTTTGAGTTGTTTTCTTTGTGGAACTTTGGCATTCCTTTTGTGGTCCGTATATATCCTATCATCTCTTTTCCCCTTTTAATTTCCTATTTTATGGTTTTCCCTGCACTGTTGTGTAAAGTAAGTTCATTTATTGGGAATAAGCCTTAGCTTGTTATTTGTGATGTAAGTTCTGTAACTGTGGTGGCTTCTCTTGGATACACAAATTGCTGCAGATGTTGCAGTTATTTTGTTTTCTCTTGGAACTGTGTTTTTTTGTGATGTATCTGGTGAATGCTAGGTATTAGCTAGTTGTTGAAGAATAGATTCTGTCATTGGTAAGATAATGAGTTGATGACAACTGGAGAACAATATATGCAATGTGTTCTTGAGAAGCATAGTTTATCATGCTTGACCTCCATTTTTACAAAAATGAAATTTTTCCAAACTCATTTTCATCCACACATTCTCTCATAAAATAATCTTACAAGTAAACCCAAAACTTTTCCTTATTTTTTAATGACACATTCTCCCAAAATCTAATTTTAATGGAGCCCAAACAGGGGCTATGCTTCAACATTTGCACTATCTGATCCTATATCATGGAATGAAGTTATATATGACCTGGATTAACTGATTAAGTCTCATTAGTTATTGCGTGTGTGCCTTTTTTGTTATTATATTAAGTTGGAATTCATTAACATAATATGAATTTTGTGCAGAAAACATTGCACAGGGTGTGGAGAACAATTGTAGATCTGTGGGATTTGGTGATCAAGCGAAGGATTGACATCCAGCAGCTGAGACTCAAATTGAGGCTCCGCGCTGTTTTAAACAATCAGGCAATAACTCTTTTACTACAACTTTCCATTTCAATTGTTTCAATGTGGTGTGGTATTTGTGATTGTCTATTCAATTTATTAAATTGATTGATCATGTGTGATGCTAAAAGATGGGAAAGGAATCCATGAGATCGAACATAGAATCCTGTTTAGAAGCACTGGCCATTCCAAATGAGACGTTGGGAGACAATCTGGCATGGTAGGAGAAACAGGAGTTCCTAATTATCATAAGCAATGGGGATTTGTGATGATTATCTGTCAGTTTGTGTAATAGGTAGTGGCCGCTGGTCACATAGATATTGGAAGCCTTACTTTACTTGAAGCAGCTATCCTGGTTTTACTTAAGATGAAGATAAAAATTTCCAAACCTTTATAATTTTTTCTTTGTGGATGTGTTTTCTATGTTTCTGACTAATAGTTGATTTCTATTGTAAATCGTTGTGACCATTGCCTGTGAACCTAAGTGCTTTTGCGAGAGAGATGTTATCGTTAAAAATAAAATAAAATAAAAAATGAGGTAATTAGTGCCTGGGATAGCCCGGTTTCCTGATTATAAATAAATAAAATAGTATTTTTAGTGATTGGCAGCAAAACCAGGGGTTTTTTTGGGCTAAGTTCTGGTCTACAACTTATAATATAAAAGATCAGTGAGTGACTGGTAGAAGGGAAAGTTGGTTCAAATTTTTAAATTGACAAAAAAGCAACATCATTGCTAAGCTAATTAGAGAATAATGAAAAATGAAAATGGATTCAATCAAACTTTTACAAATTTGGAATGTACAACTCTCTAGGACATCACTCGAGAAACTATCATATCTGTCAGAATCCTCCCTCACCATCTCAGCAGGCCATGGAGGACCCTTAAACTGTGTGGTTAATCATGGATATTTCTGATGTTCTCACTTTAAAATAAGTTCAAAGGGTGCTCATATATTTAGGCATGTCACTTTGGAAAGCATAAAACCTATGATTTCAAAATAGGAATTAGTAAATTCTCTCTTTTTGTTATTTCAAATCAAAGTTGAAACACAAAGTTATTATGCTGATTTTTTATTTATTTATTTATTTTGTAGTTTCAAAGTATGACATCTTCTGTTCTCCTTGAATGACAGCAAAGTCTAAACATAGAATAATTATTAAAGGAAGCGATGCCTGTACTTAGTTGCATCTTTCCTTAGACCACCTGCAATTAATTCTGTTCCAAAGACATACTTGTGAGCCACATTACCTTTTGTCCTGAATAGCATTTAGTTCCCATAGTTCCAACAGACAACCTCTTTGACACCATTTGTCACACACCGGCATGTTGGCCAGTTGGATGCGATAGTAACTTCCAATCCCACCAAGCGCAACCTGCAATAGGGCCTTATGAACTGCTAAAAAATGTGGGTGCATGGGCTGTGAAGAAACTCATAGGTTGCCAATATTTTCCTATTCAGATTTGGATTTCACTCTTTAAACTGTATGCTATATTTTTGCCACTTTGATTTCTTCTAAATCTTTTAATGTAAATGCAAACCGTTCAGGTTGCATGCCTTGATGATTGGGCTGCGATTGAAACACAACATTCCAACTCATTATCGTGTGCTATCCAAGATCTGCAAGATAGCACTCTCCTTGTTCCCATTACTGGAGGAGCAAGGGTAAGTCAGTGGACAAGTTCTTTAAGGTTCAATTGTGAAAAAGAAATTATTAATTCAATTTAAAATTTTCCAGGGAGATATTGATGTTGTTAAGGCAGCTGTATGCTCGGCCCTTGATGTGATGCAGGCAATGGGATCCTCTTTATGCTCTGTACTTTCACAGGTTAAATACTTCTGCTTTTGTGGTTATCATAGTCTAGCCCTGGTCAATAGGAGGGGGAGTGTTGTTGCATTGTTTAATAAATTAATCATTATAGTGTTTTACTTACTGCACACTTCAGCAGGCTACACCTACTGATGCAGAGTTAAAAGTACATTCCAGACATAGAAGAAATTAAAATAATTAGATTTAGGGTTTACTTTATTTTTTCTTATTGCAGTCATTGTTATTTTAAAACCATTTAGTTTGTTTCCTTATGTCGGAAACCCTGGTTCTCCTTATTCTAGTTTAAGACTCTATAGAATTGCTTGCTTTGTAACAAACCACCTTTTGATCATTGAATAAACTACACAGTCTTCTCTCTCTCTCTCTCTCCCCCCCCCCCCCCCCCCCCCCCTCCATCCAATTCTCTCTCTCTCTCCCCCCTTTAACTTCTCATTGTTAAGTTGTTTGTGTTCTTCGTCACTCATACATCGCATCCGAATCGAGGACGAGGAGTAAATTTCCAGGAATACTGCTTATCAGTAGTCCATCTCCACTTACAATTAAAGAATGGTGGTAGTCACACACCACATAGATCAAATTAATTGGTTAATAATTAGTCATCCTTGGCAGATGGTGAAATGCACGGAGAAGACAACAGAAACGCACAACCAAATTATACCCCTCTTATCTAAAAATAATACTTTCTGTTATTAGCGATTGTAGACTCTGTATTATTTCCTCTCTCTCTTTCGTGTACTGGAGAAACAACTGATCATGTTAGGGTATTAGGTTGACACTCTTCCAATCTTACATGCATTTCCAATTGAACATTGTATATTGAATGTGATCATAAGATGCACAGGCATGTTTATTGTTTCCTTCCCATAGTTTGATCTTGTATATCATACAGGTGGAGGGGATGAACTGCCTGGTCTCTCAAATTGCTGATGTTGCAGCAAAACAAAGAGCCATGCTTGATGAATGTGAAACACTTGCGGCTTCAATAGCTGCAATGCAGGTGAAATTATAGCTACGTTATTGCAATTATATGGTTGGAGTGAAATGGTTATCATTACGTTTTCTGGTACTGTTTGGGAATATTTTGTTGATGGAGAAATATCGAATCTTCTTTGAGGTCAAGAGTTGATACTGGCATTTACAAGTAGAACTCCAATACTCCGAGCTCTTTAAGTGTGCACTCACAGTCCTACATCATCATTTTGCCTAAATCTTGAAGTGTGTGTTTGATATGCAGCACTGGACAGTACAATAGAAAATATTTGAACTTCTTTTCTTCTTTAACACTCCAGAATTGTCCAGTACCCTATCGAAAAAGCCTGTAGTGGATGTGAAAAAAATAAGAAGAGTTTATCAGATTGCATATGAATATGTGAACCTCGATATTGATATCCCAAACGAAGATATTAAACCAAAGACCTAGCGTGACTTCTTTGTGGAAGGATTAGTTGCTGAGATATTTCTTCTCGGCCTTGATAAGAAATTTTCCTTCATAGAGTAGCTTATTTTTGTTCAAAACTTCAACACCACTTGTGATTTATTATTTGGCTCGTTTTTATGCTATATTTATATTTTACGGCGAGTGTCATACCTGCTTAAGTCGATTACATTGTCCGAGCAGGTGGAAGAATACAGCCTTCGGACATATCTGTTACAGTTGCAACAAGCTTGGGAAGACGGTGAACTGCTGACGTTTGGGAATTTTGACAAAAATCCTGGAGTTATCCATACGTGACACACTAACTACTTGAGCTCTTCCTCGCAGACGACCACAACACGGCCTTGGGGCTTTAGTGAGTGTATATTGATGTTTCTTTTGGTCACTTTTTAGGATAAAGCTCTGTGTAATGAGCCTTTTTGACAAAGGTTTTACCGATCCCTCACATGGAGTCGGTCCCACGTGGGTCTCGATGCAATAAAAATGAAGAAAAAAATTCTGACCCCATCCTTTTGTGGGAACCCTGTAAGGGTTCCGTAATGTATTGGGCTGTACGCCCAGCCCTGCCCCATTTTTTAATATAGTATTAGCCATAGTTAGAATTTGTACGACCCTTGTCCACACCTGCTTTCGCGACTGCTCAAATGTGTTGGTATTTCCTTCATTTCATTGAAATTAACATTAAAGAACCTTGTAATTGTATATACAACTGTTGCTTGTTATTATTATACAAGACTCGTGATACTATAAATAGATTTTAATTTACAAAAAGAATGATATTGAAGCCATTTTGGTTCAACTAAAAACACGGATTAAAATTTTAGATCAAAGTCAACAATTAATTTTAACCCATTTGAATTGCTTTTTGGGATATATAGATTTTGAAATAATAATTTTTGAGATATGTGTGGTTAAAAAGTATAAAAAAAATTTCATTAACGTGTAAAATTATTTAATTGAAGAACGTTGTTGAAAGTGAGTTTGAGGAAAAATAAATTTTTGAAAAATGGTGATCAAATATGGGCTTCAAGGGATCCACAATTTTTAAACACACGTTCGATCAACGTTTATTGCAATCCACTAAAAAAAATTTTCTAAACTAAAAAGGACCTAGATTTTGATTTTAAAAAAAAAATGATGGAATGTGCAATTAAAAAATGATAAAAATTGTAATCGTATGAAATGTATAATGAAAAATAAATTTAAAAAATTGGATCAAACATGGACTTACTATAAAAATGATAAAGCTACACTTGCTTTTAATATATTTCAATTGCAGAGAAAAGAGAAGGGAGCCACTAATCTCGTTCACAATTTTTATATGTTAATAGCACTATAATTTTAAATATTTTTCTTATTTACTGAAATAGCTTCAAGTAAAATCACATTATTAGATTTTTAATATAATTTTTAATAAAATAAATTATTATTTCACCACAGACATAAATCTAAATTTTTTCTCTCATTTTTTCTCACCATCCTATATCCATCCATTTCTTCTTTAATCAGTTCTACTCTCTGTAATTTCTTCTTTAATAAATTCTACTCTCTTTATTTTCGTTTGTGTTGTTGGACTACAGGTTAAATAAAAAATAAAAGGAAAAAGAGGAGCAGTAGTTAAGAGTGAAATAAAAGAAAAATCAATGTATATAAGCAAGTAAATGTCAGGTAATTTCTTCCCTTTTCTCACCATTGATGGCTATCTCCCATTGAATAATCCTACAAAGAAATTAGAAAAGATCATATGGGTGCCTTTCTTAACTTGTGTAGCATATGCAAATGCATTTTTTTTTTTTTTAATAATCCTACAAAGAAATTAGGGGGGGAAAAAGTGATTTTTCTTTTTCTAATTATTTATTTGAAATTTATTTTTATTATTTTTTTTTTTAAAAATTGGGAGTATAATTGTAATTTGTTCTTTATTTTTCATTGTTTTATTTTTTTTATTTAAAGAGGATGGTATATTTCTCATATTGCAGCTTTTAATTGAAAAATGGATGAAAATAATGATTTTTACAATAAAATATAAAACTAAGGTTGGAAATGTCAAAAAAAAAAAAAAAGTATGGATATTTTGCATGATAATAATGAAAGGTAGGGAGATATTTTGTGCTAATTACCCTTTTAATAATTTATTTCAAATGATTTACACTTTTTTTAAAAACAATTGAAAGTATAATTGCAATTTATTCTTTAACTTTTCTTTTCTTTTCTTTTTTATTGCTTCATTTAAATAGGGGGTATATTTGTCATTTTACACGAGAAATTTAATTAAAATGATAATTTTCGTAATAAAAGGTGAAAATAAGAATGAAAATATAAAAGATAAAGACGTTTTACGCAATAACAATGAAAGCTAAAAATATTTTGTGCTAATTACCTACGTTTTGAGCATATGTGATTACCAGAGCCACTGCATCAAGGAGCAGGAACTTTTTCCTCAGCCTAATAAACAAGACGAAAACACACACACACACATCAACCCACACCCAAATAATCCATAACAATCTTTTCAATGATGACATTACAATAACAAAACTCGTACAGAAGCTCATTGACCTCAAAGCCACGGCCCAAGCCAAGCTCCTATTTACGCACACCAAATCATCTGATCTCTTCCTCTACACTGTGCTTATTAAGGGCCTTAAAGTCTATCCCTTTAACTCTCTCTGTGTGTACAAGAACTTACGCAAAGAAACCACCTTAATACTTGATAATTTTACGTACTCTTGTATTATTTTGGCTTTTTTAGGGGTTATATTATTTAACTCTGAGAATTTTGGTACTTCGCTTCATGGACGGGCGACAATTTTTGGGTTTGGCTCGGAATTGGGATCTGTAGGATAATTTAATGCTTTAAATCATCGGATCTTTCATGTTAAATCATCAAAAAATAAAAGAATTAAGCGGAAGCGTACCTGAATCAGACATGGTTAATACAATAATGAATTTCGCAGTATAGTCTTCCAAATCTATATGCAGTCTCCTTTTTCTCTTTGTGATGAGATGCAGTAGAGAATGAATAATAAGTACATGTGATCTGGGGACCATAACCATATTTATATAGCGACGCCCTTTGACCTAATTCAGCCTATCATAGAATTGGGACTTGGGCTCGGTCTCCACACATATGCAAATCCATACTTTAATTTGATACATTAAAGCTCAAAATCGAAGCCTTATTAGATCACTTTAATTGGGCTCAACCGAATTCGATAGCCTTTAATTTAACACATAATTATTCACACATATAAGCACATCGATTGATTAAAAAAATCCTTACAATCTCCCACTTGGGCTATATGTGTCACCTTATAATTCTGCATTAAATATAACATTATTAGTACTCAGAATTTTGCTATCATTACCAAATGTATCTCCAAACAATCCCGTCCACCAATCATATCAACATAGGATCAAAGCGGCTTTCGCTACTTTCATTGTAGCTAAACCCATTAATGATCACGTATATCAATATAATCGAATGACATAGATCAAGCATGGATGTGTAGCATGAAAATTACATGTAATGTGATCTGTAACATGCCTATTTCCAACTGTTCTACCTTAATACTTTAGTGAGATCATTTTAAACAAGTTTAGAGATAATAAACCAAATAACTTTATAACTGAAAATAACTTTAACCTTAAACCATATCCAAAATAACAGTACATGTCCAATATGAAAAATAAAAAAATACAAATTCCCACTGAAACTAGATATCCTCAAGAGACATTACACCCATATGAGCAGTGTGCTCATGAAAGACCTTAGGTATCAATCCCTTAGTAAGCGAATCCGCAACCATTGAGTTTGTCCCAATATGCTTTATTAACACCTGTCCACTCTGAACTCTTTCTTTAACAGCCAAGAACTTGATCTCTATATATTTTGACTTCGTCGAGCTCCTGTTGTTATTGGAATACAGAACTGCTGATTTATTGTCACAAAATATCTTAAGTGGTCTTTCTATATTGTCCACAATGCGTAGCCCAGTGACAAAATTACGCAGCCATATTCCATGATTTGATGTCTCATAACACGCTATAAACTCCATTGCCATGGTGGAAGTAGCTATGAGTATCTGCTTGGCACTCTTCCAGGAAATAGCACCTCCAACAAGCAAGTAAATATAGAGTGGATCTCCTACTATCTTGACATCTCGTGAATTCAAAATCAGAATAACCGATGATCTCCAACTGATCTGATCTTCTATATGTGAGCATTTAGTCTTTTGTTCTCTGTAAATACTGCATGACCCGTTTGGCCGCTTTCCAATGATCCATTCTCGGGTTACTTAAATATCTCCCTAACATCCCAACAATGTACGCTATATCCGGACGTGTACAAACCTGAGCATACATCAGACTCCCTATAGCTGAGAAATAAAGAATCTTCTGTATTTCTTTAATTTTCAAGTCATTTTTAGGGCACCGACTTAAGCTAAACTTGTCTCCTTTAGCCACAAGGGTGTCACTTGTTTTATAATCTTGCATGCCATATCTTTTAAGTACCTTTTCGATATAGCTCTTTTGTGATAATCTAAGAATACCTCGAGAATGATCTCGGTGTATCTAAATTCCTAATACAAAAGAGGCGTCACCAAGATCTTTCATCTCAAAATTCTCAGCTAGAAATCTCTTGGTTTCGTGCAATAAGCCTATATCGTTGCTGGCAAGCAATATGTCATCGACATATAAAACCAAAAAAATATACTTACTCCCACTGAACTTATGGTATATACAATCATCGACCAAATTCATCTCAAAACCAAATGAGATGATCACCTGATGAAACTTGTAATACCATTGACGAGACGCCTGTTTGAGTCCATAGATGGATTTCTTTAATTTACAAGCCATTTGCTTTGTATCGTCCGATAAAAAGTTTTCTAGTTGTACCATATAAATTATGTTCATCAATATCACCATTGAGAAACACTGTCTTAACATCCATCTGATGTAACTCAGGATCGAAATGCGCTACCAATGCCATTATTGTTTTGAAAGAGTCTTTCGAAGAAACCGGAGAGAAAGTCTCTTTATATTCAATGCCTTCTTTCTGTGTAAAGCCCTTTGAGACAAGACGAGTCTTATACCTCTCTACATCATCTTTCAAATCCCTCTTGGTCTTAAATATCCATTTGCAACCAATGGATTTTGCACCTTCAGGCAATGGAACGAGGTCTCATACGTCATTGTCCTTCATGGACTTTATCTCTTCATTCATAGCATCGAGCCACTTTTGAGAGTTAGAACTTTCCATGGCTTGACGGAAGTTGATCGGATCATCTTCCACCATTCCAATGTCAACTTCATGTTCTTGGAGAGCACTTCTCCTCTCTCTAGTGAATTTCCTTAATAGCATTGGTTCTTGAGGCTGTAGAGTTTGTTCTTTTGGAACAATTTGTTAATCTTGAGAAGAAGGTTTGACATTATCTTGATCTAGAGTTGTTTCTTGAACAATATCAGGGATAGAAACCTGATCATTGTCAATGGCAATTGGAGGAATTTCAACATATTCCTCCTCAAAGACAAAGCCTGTAACCCTTTCTCCCCCCGCAAACTCAATATCCTCAAAGAATCGAGCATTTCTTCTCTCGAAAATTGCCTTAGTTGTGGGATCATAAAACTTGTAACCCCTGGACCTTTCAGAATATCCAATAAAATAGTAACTGATGGTCCTTGCGTCCAGTTTCTTTTCATTTGGCTTATAGGGC